AGGTGTTTATGAAAATAACTCCTGAACTTTCTGTTCCACCTATTGCAAGTTGAGTCATACCTGCTACTTTTCCTGACACAAACACTTTTCTTCCTTTTTTCCTCTGTTGACAGGATATAGTAACATGGGGGTGAAAGTGAACCAATGCTGACTCATACACCAACACAACAAGCATGAGTAGTGAATGAAGAGTAATTACCACTGGACATGGTAACAAGAAACCAAGCTATAGTCCAAATAGCTTATCCTGTCTTGGGTGAGATCCATGTTCCTGGTAGGAAGACCATCTTTATACATGTACATTTAGACACTTAAAATTGGAATTCCTGGGAGGGCACAGGTATAATATGGAGCCTTATTTATATTTTAAGAATACGTTTTCTTGACTTGAATGAAAATGCAGTTTTAACCAGCAGTTGGAACACTGTAGAGTTCAGATGGCAAAACTGAGATCCACAAATATAGTTAGCAATGTGATAATCCTGACTTTTTGTCACTTTATGTAAATTACAATACCTCTACAGTATTCGAATTGTAGGCCCAGTTTTGTCATGCATTAGGGACTCCGTTGAAGACTCACTGGGGCTTGCATTCACATAATGTATACTTGAAACATGGTTCAAAATCTGACTCAGCCCTTTGACTAGCCATCCTTGTCTCCAAATTGTTGAGCAGTATTTCTCAAAAGTGAAAGCAGTAATAAAAGAGCCACTGAATAATTGAATTCTTTTCATCACTGAACAGTTCATCTTGACAAAGGCAACAGAAGTCTCCCACTGCAGTGCTCTTGGGCAGCTTGGCGGTCTCCTAAAATGATATAAGAGGTGTGGTTTTCCCTCCACCCGAGCCTCACTAAACAATTTTCTGTGCTTGTACGAAGACCATGAGATCCAAAGAGACCAGGCAATAGAGCAGCAATTTACATCAACAAAGGGGATTTTGATGCACTCCTCCGAATGAGGCTGCATTACCATGTTAATAGCTTTTTCACTCACAACGCTCTTTTCCCTAGGACGCTGGAGACTTTTGCAAATGGAGAACAGTTCCGCTTTCAATTTTAAATGTAACAATAGCCAAGGAGCTCCTTAAACTGCATCAAACAGTAGTCTGTGAAATCCCTAACTAGCCATCCTCTCCTGCCGTTTTATTAATCACCAGGCCTACTGAACAAAAGATGAGAGCTTCTTGCAGTTTTAGCTCTGCTCCCACCTCCTAATCCCCTAGGGATGGAAAGAGGAATGGCCTGCAGAGCTGCTAAATCAAACTTTTCACTACGTTTTTTGCTTCCTTCCTGCCCTCTGCAATAAAAGAGGTTTCAGGTATGTTCTCTAATATCAGTTTATTTATGGCCTACTGGTTAACAGAGTTGTGATGGGATTTCCCCATCTCTCTTTCCCTAAGCCTCATTTTTCAGACAGCTGTTATTCCTCACCCGTTCCCACACTCATCCACTTGTTCCCTTGTCACATACTTTGAATGTGCGCTCCTTCTGACACTGACTGCTGTACACAATAAAGAATGAATGGAAATGTTGCCTCTGCAGTCAATCTATGGAACTGAGCCCATTCATTAGCACTAAAATGTTCTTCTGCCACCAGCGTAGATACTATCCTTTACCTGACATTTCTCAACATCTCTTTAGAAAAGCAGCAACCCTTCAGCTGGTGGAAAAAACCCAGCTATGGCCCCGTTTGGGCATTACTTCTATCCCACCCATCTCTTTGTGCAGTGAGGCAGACAAAACAAAGTGCTTCTTCATACAACACATAACTAACTTGTGCAACTTGCTACACTGGGATAAAAAGACTGCCATTAGCTTAGATGCTTTAAAAAAGGAGGGTATGGACATCAATATCTATTAGCCATGATGGCAAAAAAGGACCTCCGTACTTGCAGTCAGCATACCTTTGAATGCCAGTTGTAGCAGGGGAGGCTTTGGTCTCTGTGCCCCTGCTGTGGGCCTTCTGGGGCAACTGGTTGGCCATTATGGGACTACTGGGCTCTTATGTGCTTAGGCTGAGATCAGAGACAGGCTTCAGACTGACACACTTCCTCTCCAACTATTCCCTACTTCTTCCATAATCAACAACATTTATTATTAGTTAATATAATCTAGAACAATATCGAGTTTTCTCATTAAAAACAACCATAAATAGCACAACACCTGCACCACTAAGGTGCAAATACATAGTCTCCTAGCTGGTGACATGTGAGGAGGAAATTGAAAGGAAATATAGAAAGGGTCAAAACCATTGGGGAAGTTTGGAGACTATTTAAAACTACAATCCTAGAAGCTCAGAAAAAAATATATATACTGCAGGTTAGGAAAGGTACAAATAGGTATAGAAAAAAGCCTGCATGGTTAGCAAAGTAATGGAAGCTATAAAAGATAAGAAGGATTCCTTTAAGTGGTGGAAAGCTAGTCTCAGTGAGGTTGATAAAAGGGAACACAGGCTGTGGCAAATAAAATGCAAGTCTGTAATCAGGCAGGCAAAAAGGAAATATGAGGAGCATACAGCAAGCATAAAGATCAACTAATACATTAGAAGCAGGAAACAGCCAGGGAGGCAGTGGGGCCCTTGGATGACCAAGGGGTAAAAGGAGTCATGAAGGTTGATAGGGAAATGGCTGAGAAGCTGAATGCATTTTTTGCCTCTGTCTTCATTGTGGAAGATGAGAAGTGTTTGCCCACTCCAGAACCGCTGATTTCGGGAGGGGTGTTGAAAGACCTGAGTCAGATTGAGGTGACGAGAGAGGAGGTCCTACGACTGATAGACAACTTAAAAACTGATAAAACACCAGGCCTGGATGGCATACATCCGAAAGTTCTGAAGGAACTCAAATGTGAACTTGTGGATCTCCTGACAAAAATATGTAATCTTTCATTAAAATATGCCTCCGTTCCTGAGGACTGGAAGGTAGCTAATGTCACTCCCATCTTTAAAAAGGGTTCCAGAAGAGAGCCGGGAAATTACAGGTCAGTCAGTTTAATGTCAATACCGGGTAAGTTGGTGGAAACTGTTATTAAGGAAAGAATTAGTAGGCACATTGATGAACAAAAACTATTGAGACAGACTCAGCATGGGTTCTGTAAGATCTTGTCTCACTAACCTGTTAGTGTTCTTCAAGGGAGTAAACAAACCTGTGGATGTTGTTTACCTTGACTTCCAGAACGCTTTTGATAAAGTTCCTAAGTAAGCTCAATAGTCACAGGATAAAAGGACACGTTTTTTGGTGGATCAAAAACCGGCTAATTAATAGGAAACAGAGAGTGAGTATAAATGGAAAATTTTCTTAGTGGAGGGTGGTAAGCAGTGGGGTACCGCAGGGATCAGTACTCAGTCTGATGCTTTTTAACTTGTTCATTAATGATTTGGAGTTGGGAGTAAGCAGTGAAGTGGCTAAATTTGAGGATGACACGAAGTTGTTCAGGGTGGTGAGAATTGTGAGGCACTCCAAAGGGATCTGTCGAGGATGGACGAGTGGGCATCAACATGGCAAATGGGGTTCAGTGTGTCCAAGTGCAAAGTGATGCACATTGGAGCCAAAAATCCTAACTATAAATACACATTGATGGGGTCTGAACTGGCAGAGACTAACCAAGAGAGAGATCTTGGAGACGTAGTAGATAACTCACTGAAAATGTCAAGAAAGTGTGCAACTGCAATAAAAAAGGCCAGTGCTATGCTAAGGATTATTAGGAAGAGAATTGAAAACAAATCAGCCAGTATTATAGTGCCCCTGTATAAAACAGTGGTGCGACCTCATTTGGTGTACAGTTCTGGTCACCACACCTCAAAAAGGATATTATAGCATTGGGAAAAGTGCAGAAAAGGGCAACTAGAATGATAAAAGGGTTGGAAAACTTTCCCTGTGAAGAAAGGTTAAAGCGCTTGGGGCTCTTTAGCTTGGAGAAACGACGGCTGAGGGGTGACATGATCGAGGTTTATAAGATTCTGCATGGGATAGAGCAGGTAGAGAAAGAAGTACTTTTCTCCGTTTCTCACAATACAATAACTCATGGGCACTCAATGAAATCGCTGAGCAGTACAGATAAAAGGAATTACTTCTTCACCCAAAGAGTGATTAACACATGGAATTCACTGCCATAGGAGGTGGTGGGTGTGCACACGCACGCACAATACTCACAAAAAAAGTTCTAAAAAGTCATTTTAAATAGAGGAGAGGCAGGAAGTAACCTTTAAACAAGGTCTATGTCCTGGCCAACAACTGTTAGAGCCTACTTTCATCTCCACAGAGCTAGATGTTGTCTAGGTTTCAGAAATCAAAAAAGAAAGATCACAATTCCAATACTCAAATGGAACCATACACATCATTCAAACATGTAGGCAGGAAGAAGGAATCTGCAGAAAACTCATCTCAAACACTGACTCAGTAAACCACAGGCAACAGTACATCTCCTCCTTTAGCCTACCTTCTCCCATAATATGTATGTCCCATAATATGTATGTCATTTAGCCAATACAAAGATTCTGCCATACTTCTGAGCTCATGAGCTTACCACCATGTTTGATGCAGCCATATACAAATTTTAGAACATTTCACAATTGCTGATGCCAGAATAGCAAGCCAGACATTTTTAATGTCAAGAGTTACAACTGGCTTAAATCCCAGAGGAGAAGCCATGTTCAAGAGCATTCATAATGCACAAATTCAAAAGGTATCTTTTAACATACTGAAGTCAATTTAACAAAACCTGCTGCTGGCCACTGGATGGCCAGATATATATGGAGGTGGAACAGTAGTAAGAACCTGTCCAAATCACATCCAAATTTTAAAGAACAAGACATAAACCTCTTTCAACCAGGGATATACCTGCTTTGCAGGTGAGCCAAGAACAAGACTTTGGGTGTTTTCTTAACTCAGTACACAACACTTCAATTTGATATCGTTTGAAATAGTTTGGTAAAATCTGGGGTTACAAAAGCCTATCTGAGATTCAAAATCAAACACTGTTCATTTTCAATTCATGTTCTTACCTTGGAGAACCAAACCAGAATTTTCTATCGTGTATTGGAAAGATGTGAATGGAGCAACCGGGGACTTGGCTATCAGAAGCTGCAGAAACAAACAAACAAACAAAAAAAGACAAACACATTCCTATGATATGCTGCTTATGCTTCCGGTTTGCAGAGAAGCATGAACAACTGCAAACAGCAAAATCCGATATAATTTCTCCCAACAAAGCAGTACGTAAATGTGCCCTAGCCTTTTACTGTGTGAACTACCACTTTAGTTCTTCTTAAGTACCATGCTATTTGAATATGCCCTTCCATTGACAATGGCTGCGGTCACACACATGAAATAATCCACTTTCAGTACACTTTCCAACTGGATTTTACCATGTGAACTGGCAAAATCCAGTTGGAAAGTGCAATGAAAGTGAATTGAAAGTGGATTATTTCGTCTGTGTGACCGCAGTCTATGTTGCAATGGGCAACAGAGAATTATCTGCACAGCTGACTGATCTGTGTATTCCTGCACATACAGGAGAAAAGATGGACTGTGGAACAGCAATGAGATCCAACAAAGAAGTTTTAGTATTAAGAAAAAAGAGTCCTTTCCAATAATTCCTCTGTTGGTTTTGCTTTCTTAAAAGCATTCAAGGCACAAAGCTGTAAGGTCAATATGAACATATTCTCCCAGGAATCTGTATAAACCCCCCCCCCCCAATATTATGATTTACACATGGAAACTCTAGAATGGACACTGGTAGTTGTTGGTACTCTGAAGGTTCACTGCTGTCATTCCTGCAAAACATGTCTGCAACCCAAATTTGAAGCAGATTTCCTCATTCATATCTGCCGCAGAGAAAAAAGGGAAAGGAACTGGAAAGCAATTTCCCAGTCTGTGGTTTTCACAGCGGTATTTCCAACTTTGTAGCCCTAAGGGCACCATTTAACAAGGCTGCTGATCCAAAGCACATTCTGGTTCTTTTCAGAGCTCTTTTTCAATTACAGTGATGTCATACCCATTTTGCCAGTGCCCAGAATATATAGCAGACTTTAGTTCTTTCTTCATTTTTATGTATGCATGTACTTGTACACTGGAAAAATATCCATATGATCTTCAAACAGTTCCTGCCAAGGCCACTCTTCTGCCTGAGGATTAAAGTGCCCCTGCTTGTAACTCTTCTCGGCTTTGAATTCTGCCATTTCTTGTTGCTCATTAAATAACACAGCTCAGACGTAAGTGAGAACTGTGACTTTATTACTACCATTCCAGGTAATGGCCTGATTTTTAAAGATGCAGAGTTCCATCTAAAAAAATCTTTGACCCTGAATATAATTGAAAGCGTTCTCATCTTCTAAAACACCTTCTGCTGTAACAAACAGCATTTAGCCAAGACTTTAACGCTAAAGAATTCCATCTTGGAGGACATAAAATCAAACAAAATGCTGTCACGTGATGATGGAACTAGAAAACTATATAACCCCTCTGCCTAAAGGCTTTTCTTGTGACTCCATGAGATCACCCCTAAACCTGGACTAACAGGATGATCATTGCTTGTGTATCCAAGGAATACGTAACTGCTAAGCCTATGGGAGTGCTACTCAAGCACCCAATAGTCTTTCTGAGGGAAAATGGAAAGCTGGAGGGAAGCACAGAGGGAGTTTAGTTCAGATCTGCCTCAGAGAGAGTGCAGTGATAGCTTGGGTCTGCTTCAGCAAGAGAGCAGTTTGAAGGGCAGCTCTGCCTGGTACCATAGCAGAATGGTATAGCTCTACCTCTGGGAGAGGATAGAGTACCTGGTTGTTAGGCCTGTCTCTGGTGATGAGCAGACCTTTTACCATTTTGTCTGACTCTTGGGAAAGGGCAGGCTGGTATGTGTGGAATCTTGTGTGTGAGAGGATCCAACCTAGAGGTTAGTCAGGGAATGTCTATTTGTACCTGAAGGCACTGAAGAGTATTCAAACCACACTCTGAAGCCATAACTAGCTTAAACCTATGTGCCTCGGCCTTTGACCATCTGGAGACCTGTGCCACTAATCTGTTCTTTAGGAAAAAACCCTATAAATAAATAAGTCTTCCTTGTTATTTACATACAGCTTCTGCCTCACTGATCTCCATGTTCTTCTTGCTCACAACTAGACTTACTTCACGGTAGCGAACTCAAAGCCTTTATACTTCCTACCCTAATAACATCTTGTAACTTTACAAACCTGGTTTCCCAAAATCAGAAGAGGCTGTGTGGGTCCCGTCAGCTGGAAGAAAGGGCCTGTCACAGTAACCATCAGAGGCACTATCTACACCACTTTGCTAAGTTAAATAACAAAGATGGGATCACTCCACACAGCATAGTTCCTGGAAGAACTCCTAGTGAGGAAATTTTTACCCTCTACTAGCATCACATGACCAAGAAAGCATGCAGACTTAAGAGTTAAAAAGACTAGTTTGCAATCTAGGTTCAGTTTTACTCTCCACAATCACAACACTTGGACAATGCTCTAACTGCTCAAGATGCAGGATTAGGCAATGTCTTCCATTTCACTCACCTACACTCCTCTCCACTGCCTTCCTTGGGGACAAGATACATGCATCCACACATGGCTCTACTGTACCAGCCATCTCTGGATACTTACATTCGGAATGATAATTTAAATTGCATTTTTAAAACTGCCTCTTTCATTGCCTTTCTCTATCTCTTTTGATAGCTGATAAAATTGTTCTTATTAATCTAGAATTTCTCCCTTCTTTCCTACTATACAACTCCACATATATTTGTATATACTAAGTCTTAAGATCCTGAAATAAGGGTTGGAGTCCAGAGAACTACACATCAAAGCAAGGCATCTACATGTATAACTCCCCCCCTGTAGCAGACTTCTATTTAAAAATATGTCTTTCTGTAAGCACCCTTACAAACAACCTCTTGTTCTGATTTTATATAGTATTTATTGGCTGTTACAAATCTCCCCTTACTACTGAAGTAGAAAAGTGAAATACAAACATATAACACAGCCAATACAGTCAAAGAATGCAGGCTGAGTAACCAATGTCAATGTTTTGCTTTACTAATGTGTTACTAGTAAAGCCATGCTAGGATATAAGCTCAGTGATCTGCTTCACGAAACCAATCTGCAATGCAAGCCCTTTCCCTTCCTCAGCATAAGTGATGTTTGTTTCCTACCAAAAAAACTTGATGGAGAAGGGAGGCATGAGTTACCAGTGATTACCATGATGCATCCTCACAGAATTAGAATTCTCTATCCTGTATTTAACCTCATTGGGTGATCTAGCAATCCCCACCCAAAAGCCTGGATGGTTCTGGGCTTGCTATTTAATCTATTCACGAGGTTTCAAGCAACAAAATGTTAAGGGGATGTTTCATTTTTTAATTTATTTAGACAGTGTATATGCCACCTGTATGGAGACCGGCTCACAAGTAAAAACAGTACAATAAAAGCATAAAACTAACAACTTAAATTATCAACATTAAACATTTAAAACATTAGGAACAGCATAAGGGACACTGAGAAGCCTAATAAATTCTATAGAAGAGTCCTCAGGCTAGAAGCAGAAATTGGATTGGATACAGCACAAGGACCCACAGAAGGATCCCTCCTTTCCCTACCCCCAGTGGCCACTTCTGACCCTGGAAAAGTTGGTCAGCATGAAGAGGACTCCACAGGGGAAGAGGACTCTCCAGCAGAAGGGGAGTAATGCATGGCTGGCTCTGAGTCAGCAGAAGCCAGCTAACAGGCTGATGAGCTGCAGGCTGACAAAGGCTACAGTCACACGAGCACTTTGTGCTGATATCTATGCAGTACCTTGTGGAGTTAGACAGAGGCATCTGCCTTCCGTGCCCCAGTCGTTGCCACCCTGTTCTACCCCACTTTGGAAGCGGAGTAATCAGGCACCAGGGAAAGTCCAGTGTTTACAGATATTAGCGCTCTCACCCTGCATTTCCAGATGTCTGAACTCCCCTGGTGTGAGCTCCACCCAATTGGGAAGTCTGATTGCTTTGTTCTGTTTTTGCCCCTTGGTTCCCCCCCCAGTTAGCGATGTACACATAACCACATCTTCATGCACACCAGCAAGCTTTCAGCTGTCCTCTGAGGTGAGAAGGGGGGGAGGGAACAGCAGACTGAAAAGCCTCCTCTGTCTTTTTTCATGCCGGTTCCTATGCTTACAGCTTTGCAGCACACAGGGTGGGGAAGGGGTTAACTGAAAAGATTATTTTTTTTCCAGAGGGGGAGGCAGCATCCTCCAGCTGTCAATATTGAGTGGTGCTTCAAATAAGCAGTTATGTGCATATGCAAAAGACAATTTTTTAAAAAAGAAGCAGCCAGACCACCCATTCCGTGGTTGTCCCACAGCAATAATCTGAATGGTTGACCACAGGGCAAGTGCGCAGTGAGGCCGCTTCAGAGTGTGCTGTCTGGTTACCGCTTCTCGCAACTATTTAAACTGCTGCAAACAGAGGCACCACCAGATTGTGCCAAACCTCCAGTCTGACCGCAGCCCAAGACTCACCACCAATAGCTGATCCAGAGCCACCGCCCAACTCTGATGCAGCAGGTGAGACTCAAGTGATTAAGACCAGTCCACCAAGCTCACCTCCACCCTTCAAGTGCTGGAGACAGAAGCTTAGAAGAGAGCTGCAAGCAAGGAGGCAGAGTGCACACCTCCCAGCTCGTTGCCAGCTGCTTGCTGATGACAGCTTGGAGTAGTTGCAGCAGTACTCCCAAGCAGCTGGCTGTTAACAAGGGCTTGTTAGGAAGTGCTGATAAAACTCAGAGTTGGGAGCCTTAATGCTCTGGAAGCAGCAAGTCATTCTGATGGGCTCTGTGACCACAACGCCTGACCCTGCTTTCTTTGTGTGACCTTGGACTCTCTTGGGACTTTGGCTTTGTGACTCTGTGGCTTGTGGATGACTCTTGGACCTCCTAACTATGCTCTCTGCTTCATCCCTTCTGGTAACGACCCTCTGGCTTGTGCACTTTTGGCTTGTGGACTTCTGGGACTGAACTCTGGACTTTGTGTGAGCACCTGAATGTGTCTGGCTTGCCTGCCTGTGCCTACTACATGACACATGGTTGCAGGATCAGCACTGT